AAACATACAAATACTCAACCAATAAATATACCGCTTTCTATTACTTAATCACTTCCTAAACACCGTAGTAGGTACCACTCAGACCCCCAACTCCTTAGCCAACTGACTAATAAATTAAAAATTGAACTTTTCAAACTAAGAGCTAAACAATTGCAGACATACACAACTAACCTTACGACTGAAGAAAATCGCTTTCGACTACAACCCGGTGCAACCTTTCCTACCGTAATACATCCCTTCCACTTATTTCCAAATGTCGACGGATCATGTCGGAGCCACGTCAAACGAAGAAAAAGTTTAGTCGAACACTTTTCAAATCCTTTCAAAACTACTAACTCTTTCCCTTCCCCCAAAATCGTTTCATCCTTAAGAAATCCAGTGCATCGTCGACACCTTCCCAAAAAAGACCGCTCGATGATACGACCTTACCACCTTCAGAATCCTTCAATCCTCCCCCAAAACAACTATCCTGTTCCTAACATACTTTTTTTCTGTTCTTTTTTTTTACTTTGCCCTATAGACATTCAGTCAATGTCATTTTGTTGGTGACTACGCCAACCGACCCGGGCGACCCCCATAGGGCACTACCCAATACGCCCGCTTCTCATTCGTGTATACACTTAATTTCTGCAGCATTAGGAGGATGTGGATAAAAACCGCCACAGGGGCCCCTGGAAAAGTTCACATCCTCCTCACTTCCCGGGGATCATTTGCCCTTTGCTATGGAGAAAACCCGAGTCAGCCAACCCAGCACCCCGGAACTACCCAGGCTCCTCACCTCTTAATTATTAAATTAGTAAATAAATAATTAATAAATAATCTATACAAATGTACCAATATTAATAACTAACAATATAAATAGTCAATAAATAAATAAATCAGTATTTACAGCGGTAATAAATAATCAATTGGTAAATAAATAAATAATAAATGACAAATATAAATATATAAATACTACTACATAAGTAACAATGTCAATTATTATTACATTAATAATTAGACAGATTTTGCGTTAACTAATTAATCAATTAATTGGTAATTAAGCCTTCAGTTTATTTTTATTTAAAAATTCAAACAATGTTTTAAATAACATTTCATTTTGAGAACCTATAAGGCTATTAAAATTTAAGGGCTTCTCTACCTCTTTGTAACTAAAGATTCGTTCAAACATAGCATTTCTTGCTTCTTTATACTTCGGCCAGTCAAGCAAAATATGTTGCATTGTCTCGGATTCATCGCATGTTTCACAATTCGGAGAGCGTCTTATACGAATTCTTTTAAGATAAGCTCCACATATGCAGTGATTCGACCTAATTCTGATAATCGAAGAAAAAATTGACTTGCTTCCCTTCATTGCCCCCCCCCACCCTAGTGCCACTTAGTTCCAGAAATCAACAACATTTTACTTATAGTATAAAAAGATATACTGTTGTAAAAAAGAGTTTGCATACACAAAATTCCAAAATTTTCTTTCCCTTAATAAGAAGAAAAAATCCTACTTATTAGGCGTCGCGTATATGTTTTTGTCATTTAGCTAAGAAAATTTAATAAAGCTCGTATAATTTCATTACAGAATTCGATTGTTAAGACGAAATTATTTACATCGTCCTCTTACATAACTTGTACACTTTTTTTAATTCACACTAAATCATAATTCTTATGTGAGTGCTGAAGTATAAAATCTGCTAAAATGGTATATCCGAGCATATATGCGTATGATTTTAATAACACTTATTACATCATTTATATATTTTGATTCTACTGTAACCTCCGAATTCCCTGATTCCAAAAATATCATAATTATGATTTTTTATTTTTTTCTGAGAGCCAACAAGTCGAAAAGAGCTAACCAATCTGGCAATTTTTAGGTGGATTGAGCCACTAATTATTCTCACCACTATAATTATTTCCACATGTGAAACGAAATTAAGTTGACTGGCGAATAATAAACACTGGAATAAACAAGGATTATCGTGTTGTGCTTTAAGTATGTGAATTTGTGTGTTGAAAAAACTAAGTTGAACTTTATTAACTCGATAAATTACGTTGGAACAATAAAAATAAACAGACTGATTTGAAAATATTATAGCCATAACTAGAAGGAACACGTGAAACGTACATTAGAATACGTCCATGATAATAAGTGAATAAATTTAATAAATTTGTAAAAAAAATATGTACCTACGATTTTGTTGATTACTTGATTGGTGTAAGTAGTGCTCTGTCATAAAAAGCCTACGTTTGAGAAATTCAAGTATAAAAGAAGAAGAGTGACCCCACTATTAAGCCTGCTGAACAACCTGTTCTTCGCAGGCAAATGTCTTTGACCTTGGATACGTCTGGACGAAAAGCTAACACGTTAGAACAATAATGACAAAAATAAGACATGACACACATCGCATCAAACACCTCCATCCTGTACATGTAGCTCAGGAGCACAATCTACAAACAATCTAAAACAATGCACCTGTGAACATGCATACAAATCAACTTGATAATATCTTGGTATCCAGGGCACAAAGGAAGTTTGGATAACGAAAAAGCAGACACACTGGCCAGAGAAGGATCTGCAAGATCATATATAAGCCTATAGTTGGGATTAAACGTAGAAAAAACATTAAATCTACCATCATAGAAGGACAAAAAAAGAAAAAAGGATAAGTGGACAACCTCAAGAAATGCTATCCACAGTTAGGAGCATAAATTAAAACACATTCATCAAGGTTGGCAAACACGTCTATAGTTAGAAAGGGCTTAACAAACAATCAAAAACAATACCGTAAGAATGATATATTGCTCGTCACAGTTGAGTCCACAACATTCCCAACTATTAGTGTTCTAATCAATAAAAACATAGGTGGATGAGTACCGTAACACCATGTTAGTTAAGTCATTATTCAATTTATTTATTTATTTTATTTTTTTAAGGATATTTATTTTATATATTGCTATCTGTACATAATATACATTGAGTAAATAGTTAATTATAAACAAATCTGACAGACCTGTCAAACCAGGAGGCAGTGGGGAGCGAAACCAATTTTATTTAATTGGGGGGGGGAATTAAAGTTAATTCGGCGGGTTAGATAGAAGGTCACGAGGCCATCGTCGTTTTAAACGGCGTGGAGGATTGTAAGGATGAGATGTTGAGGAAAGAGTTAGGGCTAGTGACTTAGGGTGGAGGGAGAGTTTAGAGTGAAAAGTGAAGAAGCGTGTTCGGATAAGATCTTTATGGATCGTTTGAATTGTGACGTAGAAGGGAGCATTGAGAATACGTCGAAGAACATTAGATTGAAAGACTGAATTCGTTGGATATTGGATGATTTGGCCGAACCCCACAGCTCGGCTCCGTAGATCCAAATCGGTGCCGATTCTTACTTTAAACCATCGATCTGGGAGGAAGGATTTCACGATAAGGTAGTAGGAATGAGGGAGGATACATTTTAACTTATAGAGGAGGCCGGGGTGCCATACTCGGTCAAATGCTTCCGTAAAGTCCAGAAATACGGCTGAGCAGTATTTTTTGTTTTCTCGAGCCGAAGATATCGTGTGAGCACTGCTGATCAGTGGAATGGAGAGGTCGAAACCCAAATTGATGGTTAGGAATTATGTTTCAGATTCGAATATCGGAACTAGTCTTTTAAGGAGGATACGTTAAAAGATTTTGGGTAAAACAGGAAGAGGCTTATTGGTCTATAAGAGGATGGGGCACTGGGGGATTTGTGTGGTTTTGGTATTGGAGTTATTGAAGATAGTTTCCACTGGATAGGGAAATAGGTTGTGCGAAATATTGCATTGTAAATAGATTTAATGTAAACTATTGCTATTGTAGATTTCGGAGGATTTTCGGGGTAATTAGATCATGGCCTGTGTTGCTGTGACAAGCATAAATTGGTAAACGATTTACATTTATTCTGTGGAGTACCGTATGTATGGAACATGGATAACGAAAAAACCTTACTTCGATTTTAGAGTGAACCAATGTTAAGAACAAATTTAGCTCTGGTCCAACTTTTTTCCAAGTCTTGTTCTATCAGTTAGAAGCAATTGGTACCAGTCCCGCTCGCCCCTCCGTGTTCTTAAAGGGCGTCATCACTATCACTATGTAAGTGGTTTATCACTAGGCGTCGTCAATCAAAACATGACCTGTCATCAGTAGATAAATTACTTCATCCCTGTTTTTCACTAATCATCGCTGGTGAAAGTATTTTATCACTTGTCATCATTGAATGAGGTAGTTCATCACTAGTCGCCTATAGCTAAAACAATTACTATCCAACACTAGTTAAAATATTTCATTAACAATAATCACCGGCTAAAAAAGTTCATCAATCATCACTATTCATCACTGGCTAAAAAAGTTCGTTAATCATAATTATTCATCACTGGGTGAAGTATATCATTACTTAACACTTGTCACACCAGACCGCATCTCACGATTTCCGAATAATAATATATCATTACCAGTCATCACTGGCTAAAGTAGTTTATCACTAGTCATCTTTAACTAAAAAATGTTTAGCTAAAGTCATCATTAGCTAAAAATAGTTCATCAATATTTATTGTTGGGTATTCAGCGACCTCGTCCGTTTGTGGATGGTAATCTTTTTCCCAAATGTGTTGCCAGATCTATTTAACGACACTTTGCCACACAAATCACTCACCTGATGAGATCTAGAGCTTCTGTATATTAAAAATCCTTAAGATAGCGTCAATAGGCAATAACATGCAAAATAAAATGTTATCTAATATAAATAACAAATACATTATAAGAAAAAGACAGATAAGTTATGGCAAAGGGAAACAAAGTTAGTTTCTTACAGTAATAATAATAATAAAATTATAGTATTAGTATTAAATTAAAAACATTAATTAAACAAAGAATTAACGGAAGAGTTCTTCAATTAATTTAGAAAAGAAAGAAAAAAAACTAAGTTAAAATGAAGATACAAAAAAAATATATATATATTTAAATTAAACTAAAGTTAACTTATGAGTACTATTGATGTATAGATGCGATGTGGCGTTGCGGTTGTGCGGGAAAGACTGATGAAGTCGGGTCCACTTATGCTGCCTTGCGGAAAGATGTCAGGCGTGCGGTCATTGTGAATCAAGACATAGAACCAAACTGATTGTAGTGCGGCGGACGAATAATAATAATAACGCCCTTACGTTGAACAGAACGTTGAACTATCGATTCACAATACAAAATAACTTATACAAAATTACTGCCTGAAATATCTAAATTTAAGAAACAGAGTGTATGATGTCTTCTTGGCGGTTGAGACGCGACTGGTGTAATTGACTTGACTTGACAAAAAAAGAAGGGGCATTTCCAAGGTAATGAAAAATACAAAACAATCGTAGCAACGGCGACGTGTAAACACTGGTGCTCATGGCAACGGGAGGCATAAACATTCGTTCCCCATGGCAACGAGACGAAACAAACTAACTTAAATTAAAACAAAAATACAATTTAAATTCAGGCGTAAACATTTATCACTAATCAGGCCAGTTTCAAAATGAGCAATGGGGAGTCCATAACTTTTTTCTTTCATTCTGTGTTCTTTGCCTTCCCTTCACCACCACTACTGTGTGAACACAAATGGTCCAGATAATAAAAGAACAGTGTTGCTAATAAATATAGTAGAGAGAGACCATGAATTAGGTATTACAATTGTCGAAAAGTACATGTTATGCATATCAAATTACAACGGTTATAACATTAGATACAGTGGTAAATAAATAAATGTTTTACAATAAATGAATATAGGATAAAGCAATTTATTTAAAACTTTCTAATAATTCACACGCACTATTATAAAAGGCATGTGTGACTAGATGTTGATAAATTACTTTTCTTAGCTTGTTTTTATGTAATTGTGTTAATTTGTCAGGTACCGCATTATAATATTTCACCATCTAATATTTTGTACTATTTTGTGCGACTTTCAGTCCGTTACATGTGGTGACAAGTTTTTTTACTTCTTTGATGGTTATGTGAGGTAGTTACACATCTAAATTTGTAAACGTTAGTTATAACATATCTTATACACATTAGAACAGGGGTGCTCAAACGGTCGATCGCGATCGACCAGTCGATCGCGAGTGCTTTTTGAGTAGATCTCGAGAAGAAAAAAAATTTTAAGAAGTAGGTAGGTAACTAAACTACAAAAATTTATTACGTAATAAAATAACACTGCTTGCGGCAAAAGGTGGCTTTATCAAAGGAACGCGCGGCACTTGTCAAAGAAAAGCCGCGTTGTTTCTAGACTAGTAGACAGTACAGTCTAGTCTAGAAACAACGAGAGACAGTACAGTCTAGTTTCGGGCGGCGCGTTTGACGGGAACATTCGAGNAACTAGTCTAGAAACAACGCGGCTTTTCTTTGACAAGTGCCGCGCGTTCCTTTGATAAAGCCACCTTTTGCCGCAAGCAGTGTTATTTTATTACGTAATACATTTTTGTAGTTTAGTTACCTACCTACTTCTTAAAAAATTTTTTCTTCTCGAGATCTACTCAAAAAGCACTCGCGATCGACTGGTTATCTGTAAGGTAACCATGGTGTTGCCATCGCAACCTTGCTCTTCGTTTGGAGGTTATAAGTGTACGGATATGGATATATTCGGGATGATGGGAATTCGGAGAAGACTTTTGATGGCGTGGAGGGGAGGACGATAGATGAGCGGCGTGTTGGATTTTACTTGTGAGAATACTGACAGCTTGTACTATTTGGTTATCAGTTTTAAGCGGAATGATTAGTTTAAGGTCTTATTGAGGATATGTTGAAATAGTTTCCAGTTTACTGGGTTGTTGGTTAAAGAAGGTCTGGAAGGTGTATGAATGGGAGTTGTGTCGAGAGTGAGGTACAGGAGAGTGGTCTGAGGACAGATCGTTTAAAGATACCGGATGTTTGGCGTTAAAGTCGCCCCCGGCGATAAAACGAGAACCTAATTGTCGAAAAATAGAATAAAATTGGGGATAATATATGGTGATTGAGGGAGTACAGTACACTGCTGACAAAATGATCGGGAACTGAGGAAGGGAAATAGAAACTGAGGTGTGTTGGAAGGAGTCGGTGCTTTCAGAGAGATGAAGGTGATTAGAAATAGTGTTTTTGACTAGGATTGCCGTGCCACCTTGGCTCTTTGTCCTATGTGAGAAGTTTTGTAAGTTGTGTATCCGTTTATGTGAAAGTATTGTGTTTCTGTCAGGTGTGTTTCTGTTAGTAGTAATACGTCAATATTTCTATCCTTTAATAATGTTTCTAGTTCAAGTTTGTGTTTTAGTAATCCATTTGAATCCAGACAAGAACTGTGAGGGTCCTCGGAAGGATCATCGGGAAAGTTTAGGAAGTAATTCGGATACGAGGGTTGTAAGAAGGGATATAAATGGGGTAATTAAGGATTTAAAATCGTTTAAGAAGGAAGTGAGGTGGGTCGTGATGTTGTCAGTGGAAGTTGGGATTGGAGTGGGGGTAGGAATGTTTGGTCTGACAGATCTACCTGCCACTTTGGCGTAGCTGAGATGCTGATTGATTGCCCAATGTGGTTCGCTGATAACTGGTGGTCTTCCTATCGAAGGCTGTAGTTGAGGTCTGGTGGTATCCGCTGTTGGTGCATGGATTGGTTCGGTTGTCATTTTCCTGGCTACTGCCGGCGGAGTCCTGGTTGGTGGAGCAGGAACGGCTGAGTGATCTTTGTTGTTCTGCCTATGCATTTGTATATACTGCAATTCTTTATGGGTGGCACATCCTCGGTAGTTGGCGGGGTGTGCACCGCCACATAAAGCGCAAGTGGCGGGTAAAGTTGGTGGTTTGACGCAGTCGGAAGAAAGGTGAGGTACTGCACACTTGGCTCATTTAGGATGGTGGTAGCAATATGCCCTGGTATGGCCATATTTTTGACATTTAATGCATTGCGGGATGTTGTTTTTTGGTCTGGATTCTTCTATAGTTATTTTAGTGTAAATGAGATATTGTAGTTTGAAAATATCCGAGTTCATTTTATTCTGTATAAAATCTACGAAGAACAGAGGTACGCAGTCCGGGTGATCGGGTGCTGTACTTGGTGTACCCTTTTGACACCAAATCCTAGTTTGGAAATTTCAGATATTATTTCGTCAGTTGGCGTTGTAGGCTGTAATCCTCGTATGACGATTCTGAAACATTTGTTTTCTTTTAATTGGAAACAATGAAAGTCGTATTATTTCTCGTTTAGGTATTTTACTGTCTTCTTGTAACTGTCGCTGTCATGAGTTTGTAATAACACGTCGTTGGCTCGAGTGCGTCCATGGAATGTATTAGTTCCAATTATTCCTTCCATGTTACTGGAAAATTCAGTAAAGTTGTCTATATTATTTAAAATTATTAGAGGTGGTTTCACGGATTGGGCATTTTTTTGAGCGGCATCGTTTGTTTGATGGGGTTTGGCGACGTTCAGATCGTTATCTATCTTCGTGGTGTTCTTTTTATAGTGATTGGCTATGGTTGGTTTTTTTAAATGTTCTTTTACGGAGGGTGACTTGTTTAAATTGCGAGGCTGTGTCAGAAGTGTCTGTTTCAAGGGCTGTGTCATAGCAATTCGGTGCTGAAGTTTGAGAAGAGTGCTGTGTAGTTGTAGGATTTTTTTTGGCGGGCGACTGATCCATCGCTGGTCGGTGTTTAACTAAGAAAGAATTGTAGGGACTAAATTATTCTCACTTACTTTTTGTTGTTGTATCGTTGCTAGGATACCGGCACAGATTTTTATTTCTTTCTTATTATCATAACAATGTACACTATTTACACGAAGAAATGTTCTGAGCATATTAGCAAATGACAATGTATTATGCGTATTCGTTTTTGGGAAGGGTGAAAAAAATGCCAGAGGCGACGGTGGGAATCGAACCCACGACGGCGGGATCTACGAGCCTAGAGTCTCTCAAGCTAACCACTCGGCTACCGCCGACAAAAAACTATTTGACAATCCTTTTCCAAGAATGTCTTTGCGGCCAATAGAGGCTTTTAAATAGATAAGCTCATTAATTTATTTTAGTCAGGAACCAGTATAATTTTTATTCTGGCAAGGGCCGTATCTGATCTTCCTTTTTTCAAACGGCCAGTAAAAGAAAAAACACAAAAGCTACGTTCTACTGGTTTCCGAGTTCACTGAACTTAAATCTTGCACAACGGTTTTTGTACTAGCCGAGTCGAGTACGCAAAAATTTATTAGTCCGATTATTTGTTTTTTAATTTATACTGTATTAAATGTATAGATCTAAATATATTTGACAACCGTTCAATAATCTACTGAAGTGTAAAAAATCATGCTTTGTTTACAAATATCTTCATTTAGACAAGATTATTTTAAAATTTGCATTTCAAGTAATGTTTTTATAAATTCCAATGTAGGTTTAGCGTAGAAAACGTATTTTTTTTAACTATCTATAATTTTAATGGCATTATTTTGGGAACGAAAAAATTTCATCTTTAGTGATCGATTTTTCGAAATTTTAAAGAGAAAAATGCCAATCCGATTTTATTTTTCTTAATATTGTTTTATTTTTGTATAAATCGTTTTAGATATTCGACTATTATAGCCGGATTTTGCGAAGATCTACTAGAGAAATGATCCTGTAGAAGTACGTACTTTTAAATCGCTTGCCGGTAAGGCGTCTCTGTCAAAACTTCGAGATTCGATAGAGTGCTGAAAGATTGAAAATTGCCTATCTTGGAACAAAAAACGCCAGAAATGTCACAAAAATAAATGCCACAGAAGTGAATACCCTTCTTCGTAAAGAAACATCAGATATGAAGAAAATCCTAGACTAGGAAAATCTTTGGTAGAAATAATATGAAAAAATAGTTTAAATAATAAGGAAAAACACGTTTATATCTTCATAGGAAAAGATAGTAAAGTACTGTGTTAGGGACCGCTAATCGATAATTATTCAAAAATCGTGAGATGCGTTCTGGTGTGACGTAGGTTACAGAAAAATATTTTCTTTATCATGACAACGTTTCGATCTTTATTGAGATCATCTTCAGGGCTCAAAGTGTTTGTCTTCTGTGTAATGTGCCATTCTTGCGTGTCGAGAGTGCCAGTGAATATATATATAAATTTTATATATTGAATTATTATTATAATTTTTTTATTATTATTATCATAGACTTATTTTATATATATTGAATATATATAATAAATTTATCTGATATATTGTTTACTGCGAGCCCAAATAACGTTACAGAAAGTGCCGATCCTTGGGGGATTCCATTCTCCTGCCAACCGTCATCCGATGTCACTGCTCCAATTTTAACTTTATATCGTCGGCTTTCCACAAAATTATTTGTTAATTTAAGGATTCTTCTCCGTAGCCCACAGTCATGACATTTTTTCCTGAACCATCCTGAACTCCGCCTTGTATGAACTAAATAATCCTTTTG